AAAGCTTATGGAGCCTACTTGATGCAACAAAAACTATTCATCCTGCTTGAACCACACTCATCAGCAGAGAGGGCTTCACACATTTAAGCCGTACACAGCGTAGCATCGCTGCCTGTACTCCTGTTTGCTCCTCTGAACTTCATGTGTTCAACATCTACCGTCACTAACAAACTACGGATAAGTACTTTATACAACTCTGATTCATGTAACAAAGCTAACTGTAGGTCACAGCATGTGTAATACAAAGTGAGAGTGAATGTGATGAACCATCCCCCCACAAAAAAAATACTGTTTAATTAAATTAAATTGAAAGTCTATGTTTACATTTATGATATTTACATATCAGCTGTAATCTGTTAAACTACAGCTGTATAACTGCCAGGAGGAACAGTTCCTCCTTGCAAAAAAGCTGATTTATGGTTGCTTGCAGGTACCTTTGCTCTACATTAGTGGCCTCATAAATCATCTTAATGCATGTAACGGTTTTACCCCCAGTTAAGACTGACGGTCCCATTGTGACTGTTGCTTTTTAACTTGTTTATTTATCCAGATCTATTCACAAACTACCCATGTGCATTATTTGTGGATTGAAAACAAGCCTTTGTGTGTGGTAGGGATTTGCACCATGATTGCAGTGTCCTGGTACGCGGCCAACATCACGCAGCAGTTCTTTGACCAGTTCTATCCGGGGACGAAGTAAGTCAACACATTCTGCATTTGCAATTAGTTTGAAGCAGCAGAAGGATATAAATGAATGTTATGGTGTCTCAGGTATGAGATTGGAGAAGGCCTGTACATCGGCTGGTCTTCAGCCACGCTCGCCATCTGCGGAGGCTCGTGTTTGCTGTGCGCCTGCAAACTACAGACCCCCGGTGAGAAAGTGTGAGTATCTGTTGCTGAAACATCCTCCTGCTGTGTGTGGTGGAGTTGGTGCATGCTGTCCTGACTAGAACAGGTGTTGTGTGTTCCAGATCGTACCCATACCAGCCATCCTCCAGAGGACATGTGCTGTCAACTGTGGCAACGTCTGCACCAAGCAACTACGGACGAAACGCATACGTCTGAAAGGTCACTGCACAAGAGGAAACGCTGGTTTATTTACCGGGAAAATGAAGAGCCATGGAGCCTAAATGCAATATGCATGTATGTTAGAAAACACTGATTCTGATGTAATGTTGGGGGTTTATTAGCTTTACATAATGTAAATCTTTTAATGAGTATTTGTAGAGTTTATTGCTTCATTATTCCAGCATGTATCCACTTATTTACTTTGTTCATACTGGCCAAATAAAACGAATGAACATTTTGACATCACAAATGGAAAGCAAGTGTGATAGTGCTGATCACTGTTAGGATTAGCACGAGGAATACAAACAACTTGCTGACATTTAACATGTTTACTATGTGGTGGTAATCCCAAAATAGGACAATTTCTTTCTTGGCGAAGAGAAGGAACAGGTTTGAATTACTTTGACTTATTTAATAGTTGATAAAAGATGTCTTGATTGTGAGAAAAGAGTTCAAGAAAGCAAATGAAATCTGAGCCTCTGACCTCAAGCCAGTTTGATAACATTATTCTGAGGGTTTAAGATTATTTTTAACTCTTTTTTATTACAGTTTTTTACTCTAACTACAACTAGTAATACAGAACAGTCGGGAAAATTGAATCCTCTGATTATGTTTATTTGTTTTACAGTTAATGGTTTGCATGTAATCTATACAGTTTTTGTTCGTATATAAATGGTTGTAATTCTTTGTTATTCCTACATATCCTCAAACCTGCCAAACATTTCCTGGTTGAATAACTTTCTTCAGAATAGCTCATCTGTGGTGGATAATCATCTAGTTTGTTTATCAAACGCTCAAAAAGCGATTTCCACCATGAAATACGATTGAGAAGTCTCTGCAGTCTACTTTATGATCTGGCTGGGCTTGATAGAAATAAAGTTTTTATGTCATATCTTTCCTAATATATCTGTTATAGGATGTAATTCTATTACAAAATGTTTAAAAGTCACAATAGAAATTTGCCATTTTCACCTGCATCTGTAACCAATAACAGCTGGATTCTATATTGGTCCCATATTCAGTCACAATCACGACACACCAGGAGTTTCATGCAGTGGGGTTTCATTCTGCCTCCAACTATGAATCAAAACACTTCAGTTCCAGAGTTGAAACAAAACACAAGACTGGTCTTTATGGTTTTATGTATTTTATTCTGTTTTGGCACGTGTATTTTTTAAAATGAATGTATGTTATACAGTTTTCTTCAGAGTGATTTTACATTTGTTCCTGTGGCTTTTGATATGTTTTATACACATAAAAATAAAAATCATCTTCAGTGACTGGGTGCACTTATCTGTGGGAATGTTGATGGATTTCTCATTTCCACAAGTGATGAACAGAACTGTTGAGCAATATGACTTATTAGCTTTAAACAAAACAAAACAGAAAACACTAGCTTGCATGCTCAAACAAAGGAGCACTCGCTTCCAGAACCTACAGTTTCAGCAGACTTCAATCTTCAGAGCAGACAGAATCTTCACTAAGAACATTTGACTCGTGTAACTAAAAACACGAGTCAAATGTTCATAGCGAAGATTGTTGTCAGGACTTTTTCCTTTATATCCCTGTTAGAAAATATGTTGAATATGAAAGTGATCAAAGAGCAATGTTGAGAGAACGCCATCTTCCAAGACTAACGGCCAACGGACCTTTTAACTGTGACTTTTGAAGTGCCTCATATGGACTGTTGGTTAAATACGCCACCTACTGGAAAGACCCGGTGCCACATCTGTGAATGAATTCTCTTTGGTCTGGTCACATTTAGCTGCTGAGAAGTGTTTTCACGAACATCACCACATATTCAGAGATTGATTTTGTTTTAACATCTGATACTGATAAAAAATGATACATAATAAGAAAATAATTTTACTACTTTGAAGTGAAAAGTGACAAAGACGTCTGCAAAATGAAGGAAGGTCACAGATTATTAAATTGTAAGCAAATGAAGAGTTTATAA